AAAAAAAGACTTGCAAGTATTCAGGCAACCCCAGGCAGAATGTATTTTGGCTCTCTAGATGATCAGCCCCTTTTTGAGAGAAATGGCCAGTCTAGAAACAAACAAGCAAGCAAACAAATGTAAATGGGAAAAAAAGTAAAGTAGCAAAAATCCTACACAATTCTGAATATTTCCTTGCTAGAGATTTACTGTGACTTATAGCATTACCCTGCCATTGCTGTGGCAACAAATCACTAATGAAGACAGGTTTTATATCATCACAGCATGGCTAGGTGACACTACACTATAAATCATTACCAAGGAAATGATCTCTTGTAATAATGGTGAATAAATAAGGGCAAAGAAATTAAAACAACCTAGTGTGATCCTCCAGATGTTGGGACTGGAGTGGACATTTTCCTTTATTGAGGAATGGGTAGGTTGCCTCACGAGGCTAGCTCTCTATCTCTTATCCTCTAATCATGCACTTTAGAGGGGCTTCTGGACTTAGTTGTGCACCAAAGCTCCAATTTTCATCTTGCTAACCTTGTTTCACAATCTTATATTAGATCATTTCACTGGTCCATGTAAGGCTACTTTTCAAGATAGTTTGCGAACAAAAATTAATTCAAAACTAATTGGTTTTGCATTGAAATGATACGACATGAACTGTTCTTCTTTGGGATGTTCATCATATAAAATTTAGGACAGATTTTCTATAACTCCTTTTGACCTGCTGAATATGTAATACTGGCCTTATAAAGATTTACACTTGGAAACGGAATATTACTATATTACACTATTCCCTAAACTGATGTCATTCAGAAGCTTGGATTATGATCTCCATTATTCATAGCTAACAGGATAGCCATGTTGGCTGCAGACAATTAGAATTACTGTCCCAAAATTGGGAAACACTTTTATATGGAATGTAACATACTATTAACATGCTACCATCCATGCAAAATATATTTTTATCCATGCCCTGGCTTCCAACCCATCTCCAAATGCAATTTTAAAAGTGCCAGTTCTACTCTTTATATTTTTTAAAAGGTAAGCCTAAGTTTTTCTTACCAAAAATGAAAATAAAAAATCTTACTATGTCATTTGAAATCATATAGCTGCTTGTTTCAGAGCCAAGGATTCCTGTCACTCTAATCTTGCTGTCCCTATAGCATGCTTTTGCCATGCTCTCAAGTGGGACTCCATTGTGCCATTGTTCCTTCAGCTGTACCACACAATACTGAAAGAACAACATTGTTGCATTCCCCTGGCTGAAATTCAGATGTCACCAACTGCAGAAAAATCCACTACCAACTGCCACACCGAATATGCCAGCTATTTGTATTGTCTGAGCACTCTATTCAATTTTTTTTTAATTCCCCCCTTCCCCAACCTATTGACCTAATGAACACTAGATGGCCAGAAAGGGTTTACATATTTTGACTGCAACCTAACAATTTGAGAAGCCATGTGAATCTGTGGAGTGCTCTTGTACATCAACACATTTTTTCAACTATTTTATTAGTTGACTTGTTGACCACAAGATGGCACCAAAACGTTGGTGTTTGCATTACTTTACTGCCATCTAGTGATCACTTGTGCAGCTGCTGAGTAAGGTGCTAGTTTTACAGTAGTTGACAAATGAGTTTTCTTCCTATTTTTCATACCTATGCCTAGCATTTTTTTTAAAGTCTTATTACTTTTTATTGTTGTAGCTATATTTTTAAATAAAATTACTCTTAAAAGAAATGAAACTATCTCTTCCTTTGTAGTAAACAGTCTGCTTGTAATGTCCTGTGCCAAGATATCCACTCTCAAACAAATCAAGTCATCTTTGGACGGTCTTGGTAGCAGGCTGAAGATGAGACAGAAGCAGCATTGTGAGGATATATCCTTTGGCACTCTGAGAAGCAACTCCAACCAGGACAAAGAGGCTGAATGCCAGGCTAAAAAAAAAATTAAATACTGTGTATATTGTATTTGTGCATATGTACACATAGATTACTTAAATTATAAATTATAATACACATATATTTAAATTATGATGCACACACATACACAAACATACATACACACTTGACTTTTATATAGAGGTTTATGAAGAAAGATAAGCTTGAAAGAACTGATTGACCCAAGGTCACTCACTGAGTTTCTCCAAAGTCCAATATTTCAACCATTACATTATGGAGCATTACTTTTCTCCATATAATCTATAATGTTAATTGTGGGGTTTTCTGCATTATGTATTTATCATCTTGTTTTTTTAAAGGTTCTGTTTTTTGTTTCAAGTTGAAAGGGGGTTTCAAAAATATTTTAAATAAATTATCCACAAATATGTAATTTAGTGTTAAGCGTTGATTTTATTACTACCAACTTTAAAATTCACAGAGGATAAGGCAATAATTTCCATTAGTCCTGATGCCCTATGCTACTTCAAATATCAGAAACTTACCTGTCAGTAATTATTGAGAAAATATGTACGTGTGCATGTTATCCTACTGTATCTTGTGTACTGGCTTTATTGGACCACTTTGAAAAAAATAGCATACAAGATAAGCCTTTACTATGATCCAGTAGAGCAGCAAGTTATGCATTTTTTTGTATAAAAAGAGCAGGTGCAATTAGAATATAGTAAAATAAAGAAAGGGAAACTTAGGTACAAGGTTCAGTCTGCTTTCTAATTCCCAACTAGTTAATTTTGAGCTATTGTGTATTGGAAGAATACAACCTGCACCTGGGCCCATGGACTGTGCAAACAAGGAAATGCAACATTTGTTTGAAAGCTAATGCAGACAGATCTTAAACGTTTTATTTTTAATCCTTGGAGGTGGACAAAACACACATCTTTCAAAAGCATATATTTTATATATTAGTTGAACAGGCCTCATTTCATCTCAACGTCTTAGCAGAAGCTTTTGCCCTTGGAATAGAGTGCATCACTTTTGCAGAGGCACATTTTGGAAAAACAAGGCACAAACTTACTATGGCCTGGATGACTGCTGCCCTCTATAGGTTTTACTCTATAGATTGCAACAGTAAAAATCTAAAATAATACAAAAAGCGGAGGTCTGCCTATGTATGCACATATACCATAGATGTTTTGAAAGACTGAATAACAAATACCAATTTTTAATGGGATTGAAGCACATAGTAGCAGGAAGCATTCAATAACCTAAATCGCTACCTAAATGTGTATATAGGTAATCCTTGACTTATGGCCACAATTGGGACCAAAATTTCCATTGTTAAGCAAAGCAGTTATTAGGTAATACTGCTATTGAAAAAGAACAAAAGGGGCGGGGGGAGACTAGAAGCCCTGAGTGTGGTCTCTATGTCAGCCAAGACAAAATAGCCATAGGACAGAGCCCAGCCATCAGAAAAGGAGACACAACAGAATTAGGTGGCCAATTAGACCTCGACAGACCTGTGATTGTATTATTCCCATCCCCATGACATGTATTGTAGATGGGTTTTATGGCAAGACTTGGGCCAAGGAAACAAAACACACCATTTTAACAATGGAACTAAACATGATTTCAAACTGCTTCAGGTTACCAGGTGGACATGTTAGCACGGTATCTTTGGATAGCAATCCGTAAGACATGAGGACAAGCCCAGTCTATACTCTTAGTAGGGAAAAGTAGATGAAATTTCCTGTTTAAGTGTGTCATGGCTAGGAGGGAGTAGGTGCATTATTTACCCCATCTCACAAAATCAAGTAAACAATACTTGAGTTTATTTGAATATTTTGGTTTGGTAATTTCTTATGCCAAAACATACAATTTCTGAAGTATAAGCTTATAATTAACTATAATCATAAAGAGCAATTCAAAACTCTCCTCATACTTCATAGCATTCCAAAAAATTCCAACCTCTTACTGGTCAATTCTGGGGCTCTTTATAAAACAAAATATTTCTCTGCCTTTGAAGCAACAAGAAAAATTCTTCAGAGTAGCTGAAAGGCTTGTCTACATTCCCTCAACCTTGAGGTCACAAGGCATGACAAGAATGCTGCAGGGGCAGTAGATCTTGTGGCTCATCAACCCACCCATCTCACTATAAACTTTGGCACACCCTTTTCCAAAAAAGAGAACTTTCTTGGGAAGCAGCAACTTTGGTGGTTGACAGAGAGGCAGGAGGGAGATCCCTTGCCCTCCCTCAGCTCCCAATTGGGGCCTTGAAGACTTGTAGAGTAGAACCAAATAATCTAGTCCCTAGATGCTGTTCTAGAGTCTAAAAGATTAAGCTTATAGTTTCTGGAATTTTATCATACATGTATCTTGCACATTCAGAATATCTATGTATTTATCCATCCATCCATCAATCCATTCAAAATCCAATGAAACTTTCTACACCATTCTAACAAAGTGAGGACAGTTTAGAACTATAATTGTTTAGACTTAATAATGGCAGCCAGTCTTTATTTATGTATCCATATAGCCACTATCAATTAGATTTCTATTAAGTTTGCATAAATCATATATGAATGTATAGTGAAATTATACAGTGAAAATGGATTCTCTGTGCCCCTATTATACCTAAAAGACTGACATTGCAACGTTGGGAAGATAAATGCATAGCCCCATTCACTCAATGGAATGAATACCTGATTACACTTGCTACCTATGAGAGGACTGCCTACTGATAATAGACTTTGTATGGACAAATATAAGGAAATATGAGACTCATTTATACAAAATACAGAATGTTTTTTAAAAAGGCATGATAGTCATATAAGTGTATTAGAAACACACACACACACATACACACACACTTGAACACTGTGCATTAGATAATTATACAGTATATTGAATTGTAACTGTATAGTGTTCTAATAACATTAAAATCTTTTTTCTCTTATATCTTATTTCACTTATTTTTAAGTATGATGATGTATTTTTAATTTCTTTTTATGTTTGTTCTTTTTCCCTTTTGTTATTATTTTAAAAGCAATATTTTAAAAAAAATCAGATGTGGACATAATTATACAGACCCTAGCCAAACAGTATATTCTATCAGCACTTCTGCATGTTTATTATAATTAAATACATACATATGCTGTACAAAATGAAATAACCTGTATTCCTGAAGAATAATCTTGTTACTATCCATCCCACCAGCATCCCAATGACATGCCAGCATCCAACATACCAAAACATAGAACTATAGCTTCAGAAACTCCTGCTGAGTGTTAAGAGGTGGAAATAAATGTGTACTGTCATTTCAGTGAAGGCTTGCAAGACAAACCCAAAATTAAAACTGAGGTAATAACACAAAATAGTTAACAGCACTTTAACAGCAATAGCCACTTCACAAATTAAACCTAAATCATTTCAAGTTTGTTTAAACCAAAAGGTGATACAAAGTTGCATTCATCCAGTCCCTAATATATCAGTACTCTAGATATAAAGCATCAGTCATTTCCATTTTGTGCAGCTGAACGGAGAAATCTGATTTAGAACTTAGTGTTTCTGTCTTATTGCTGGGAATGTTTCAGTCAACAGCATCTTCAAATTGGCCATCCTCTGTCACAGCTTTTAAGTGAATCAAAGTCAACGGTGCTACGTGGTGTAAGCTTGGGTCATACAGAGGTTCTTCTTGAACTGAATAGGATGCCTGTCCATTGCCATCCCAGAAACTTCCACAGTAGATAATATCGTCTAAATCTAAAGAAGTAATTTGGGAACAATGTAAAAATGCACTGTATATATATATATATATATTGTTGTACAATGCTGAAGTTAATATATATGTAGATTGCAAAATTACCCAAGCTAAGGTTCTATTAACTTCTGAAGAAATGCTTTTTATAAATATTACTATGCCCACTTATATTCAGCCCTTCCTCCAAGGAGCTTAAGCTAATGGCACTGGGAACATGCTATTTTCTTTTTTTCTTTTTAAGCAAGAGTAAACAAAATGTGTTCTTTGACCAATATGATTAGAAAGCTCAGTTAACACACAGAAGTATATATTACAGCAGCTATAAACAAAACTTATTATTCTAGGATTCAATTATCCTCTTCATCCAGTTAAACCAGGAACCTAAGTCATAAAATCTTCATGTTACAGAAAAATGTAACTAAATTAACTTTACAAAAAATTGTTTTCAATTTCAATATAAACACTACACATGCTTTTAATTTATAAGCTATATTTTATGAAGGACTACTAATCGACACACTGTGAAATCTTGCAATACTCAGTAAATCATTTCCTTTCTTTCTCCAATTCCTACTTGATGTCAAAAAACTTCAGCAAGTTCTCATAAGAAAAAAAAAGAATCTATGTTTGCTAGCATAAGACTCAGAAAAATAATGCTAGAGACAAGAAAGAAAAATGTGCATTCCTTAAATGGTAATATGCAACTCTTCTCCACATCACACCAGTACTTTTAACATTTTACAGAAATGAAGAAAAATGGCAACTAAAGAAGAGAAATCTTTACCATTTTTTAAAAAAATGTATTTTATCCTTGTTATATTACCTTTAGGCAAATCCTTCTGATAATTACATTAAATTCTGATTAAATTTCAGACTTCTAAATAATTATTGAAAACACAGACTTGTTCTTGAAAACATTAAGAAATAAGACAAATCAAGATCAAAGGAACACAAAAATATTAAGAATAAAAGTATCCGAGACAGTTTGTTCTTTTGCTAATTGAGCCAAAAGATAAAAATGGCACTACACATAATCCTTGTTTAACAATTACTTGTTCACTGACCATTCAAAGTAAATGATGGTGCTAAACAAGTGATACTAACAAGAGGTCCTCAAAACTCACCACTCTCAGGGTCATGTGATTGCAATCTAAGAGTTTGACAACTGTTTTGAAATAATATCTGCATTATGCCTATCGGTATGTATTGTTTAGAATGACTCCTTCTCTGATCACACGATCAAGGGCTTTTCCCAAGAGCATTGGTAAGCTGGAAGATGGCAGCAAGTGGCAGTCATGCATGTCAATAAGCAAAACAAAACGGTTGAAAATACAAATTTCTTGCAGGTGAACTCTCCAGACCCCTTTTCCTATTCAGTATATGGTTTTTTTTCCATTGCTGAACAGTCCAGTAGAACAGCATCCAGTGAATCCCAGAGGACCTTTTCTTTTTTTTATGGCAGTTGCATTTATGTTTTTGAGTCAACCAGACAAATAGGTAGCCCTATAAACTGAATAAATGCATAAACTATCTCATATCTGTGGAAAATAAATATGCTATGTCACCACAGGCACATTTAAAATAATAGAAAAATAACTATTATTGTTATTATGTTTTTTATATTGTTGGCTTTTTGTATCGCGATTTTTTGAATTGCATGCTAGCTGCCAGGAATCACTATTGCAAGACAGGTAGCCATATAAATATATCAAATTAATTAATTAGTCTATAATACCATAGTTTTACATGTCTTTAATTAGTTGACATAACCATTAAATAATAGAACAGATGGTTAATGAACTATTATAGTTGTCCTCAAAAGAGAGGTAGAGACATTACTCTATATTTCTTATAGAGCACTATATTTCTTACCTGGGGAAGCAACCTGGGTAGAACACAGAATGAAAGTGTTGTATTTTTGAACATATCCTAAATAACTTAAAATAGAATGCCTATCACACATCCCTATTTGGAAAAGTGTAACCTTTTGTTTCTATCATGACAAGACAGTTAAGAGTAAAAATTAGAATCCACTAGGATACAACCCAATAACTGTATTACAGAAATATTGGGATCCTAAATTTAGCAGATTATTATCTTAAATTTAGCAGTTTAGCGGATTTAACACTTGATGTCATCTTTTTATAAAGCTAGATCAGAAACATAAACACTAAGAGCATATCTTTAGAAAGAGGGTTGTGTCCTATTACTGTATAACAAGCTAACTTGTTAAGTGCAAAAATACAGTAAATTCCTAGCAATAATTTTTCTCTTTTTAAAGGTAGGCAATTCATTACATGTGCAGCAGTTGCTCTATACATTTACTTTATAATTTTAAAGTATAATATATACTTCTGTCTGTTAATTTGTACATTCATAAAATGAGAGGGTACATGTACTAATGCTTTATAGAGTTTCTTGGCAATAACCCTGTATATTTTTCATTATCAAATGCTATTCTTCCAAAGAATAAGTTAGTATATTACTATCCTAACATTATTGTAGATATTGTATTTACATTACTTGATTAACAGAAAGAAGGTTTATATCTTGAATAAATTATTTTTTAATTCAAAACAATTGTAAAATTAAAGTTATAGCTCTGGTTAGAAAGAACTTGTGTTTTCAAATAGGGTTTTGCAGAGGACTGTGTTCTTCATTGAAATTATACAACTTTTCTAAATTTACAGTCCAACTGTGTATATTTAAGAGAAAGTTACTGAAGGATTACTAAGGAATCATTATCAGTAATTAAAATGGCAATGAAATTAAACTATCGGGGACAAGTATTTGTAAAATATGCAAAGGGAAAAAAATAAAGAAGCAGTATAAATATTTTTAAAAAATCTTCACAATGTAAGAAAAATCTCAAAGGTAATGAATAAAAAAAGAAGATGCAGCTGCTTATACCAGTTATTTACTAGCAAATGACTAGGCCTTTCTACTTAGGAGTTTCTGTAATTTAATCCCAGGCCAGATTACAATTTTAAGAATTAATATGTTTATATTCTGATAATACAACTTCTGTCAAATTAACGATAGTAGAAGTGCTTAGTTGCAATTCTCTCTTATCTTCTCTCTTAACAAGCTCCTGTGTAGTCTACTGCAGCTCAGAATTGTGCCTGCTATAACATTACAATTATTTAGGACTAGAAAGAAGGCAGGGAGCCACGCTTACATACAATTAGATTTCTTCGATAGATATAACTCTATGCACCTGAATACATATAGAAAAGGTAAAATTTCCCCCATCATCCATATCTGACTCTAGGGGACAGTGCTCAACTCTTGACTCACAGCCAAAGAGCCAGCTTGAACAATGCCATAAGCATTATTTGTAGCAAAGATCAGTAACATTCTAGTATCTATTTAAAATTTAGATACAGCCTAGCACCAAGAAATTCATGTATCAGTGCTTTAATTTGACCAACGAGGAGTCTGACAAATACATGAAGTATTTTTCCCAGTGATTAAGTTTCCTAACATGTTTGAAAAAAATCATAAATAGGCATTCCCTTACCATAAGAGTTTTTATTGTTTTCAGAGTCTTCCATCTCCTTATCCCAGTCTTCTTCTTCATACTGAGTAACTGCTGTCATTTCAGGAAAAACAGTTTGGGTAGCTACATCGTAATCTTCATCATCTGATTTCCAGTCTTCATTTTCTGATTGGAAGTCTTCAAAATCATCAGAGTCCTCAAGAGTACTTATTTTTGCCTCCACTTTTTCTGTCAGCCCTACAAAGAAAGTAACCAGTATTTAAAATAAAGAAAAATAAACTATCATAAGAATGATCTTATATAGCAGTATTTGGGGGGGGGGCACGCAGAGATAAAGTACGATCAATGTTAGGCTGGCTCCATGCGATTTATTTAATCTGACAGTTGCATTTATAACTGGGTTTTGTTTGACAAGAGAGCAACTACCTCCATTTGTCCATTTCACCAACTAACATCAGGAGAAAGGATGGCAGTTATGGAGCCCGAATTAACCACATGAACTGCAAAGCATGCACAATGAATACATTTTGCATTATCCTCAGATTTGCTAGATCAGTTTCAGGAACATCTGCTAACAATTTCAAACCCATCAAAGGCCCAAGCCATGTATAAACATCTTAGACATCTTATCTTTCAGCCACTATTATTTAATGCTAATGCAACATGCTAGGAGAACATTTGCCTGCACCGCTCAGAAACCCAGGTATGATGTACTGTATTTGATAATGTAGGTTTAGTAACAGTTTTTAAAATCTACACAGAGTGAGCAATTGGTCATGTTAACCAATTAACTGCTCAGAAAAAGCTTTAGAAAAAAATAATTGAAAAGGAAAAAATACAAGCCTTTGCCCAACAAATGTGGGGTTTTTTTACGCTGTGGAATATTTCCCTATTTTGGAAGCTAATTGCTTGCTTGATATATAAGGGGAACCAATATTTGAAGGCTAGGATTTCAGATGCTAGATGGAAAGAGATTGTAGTAAGCTATTTAGCCTTTTCTCTTCTGGATGCCCCATATTTCTTCACTCCACACCTCTACTACTGTTTTTCCATTCAGATTCTTAAACAAATTGACCAACTGAAAAGCAGGAAAGCCCCCAGCAGTGATCTAATATCATCTAAGCTGCTAAAGGGAAAAGCTGCTTTATAGGTCCCTGTCTTGGTGTCCCTTTTTAAACACATCGGTAAAACACTTCAAACATTTGATGACTAGAGTTCTGTAACCATTCTCCTTCTCTAAAAATGGCAAAAATAACAATCCTTCACAGTTAGCCTACAAAATAAGCTTAAAACATATGCCCATTTTTTATTATAAGTTTTTGGATTGAGTATATCAAGATAAATTTCTAGCAGAACTTAAGAAAGGTAGTGAATCAGTGTGTCAGTTTACAGTTTCTAACAGAAAAATATAAATGTAAGCAAAGTCACCCTTTATACATAGTCTTTATTTAAAACAATTCTTCAGTTTTATTTCAAGGAACAGACTGATGAAAATGTCCCTCCCATTCATTGACCAGTGGTCACTCACTCTAATAAGGATACAATATGAACATAAAATCACCAAGTCAGATGAGAATAGAGCTGGCTATCTTACTGCATACATTGCAACCCATTGAGGCACAAAATAGGCTCAATATTTCTGTGGATCTCAGTGGTAATTGCTCCAACCATTCTAAATTCCATCCTAAATTCAGTTACAAACATTTGATAATACTGCTATATGCCAATGAATACCGCTATATGCCAACAAGCAACTATTCTTTTGCTTCCCAGGTGGCCCTTAAGAGAAGCTTAAGACTTGAGCAAAATAATAATGGCAGGATATAAATAAATATTCTAAAAAGGGAGGTCTTATAAGCAACTATTTCCAAAACCAAGATTTAATCTTCTTGGGAAAGAAAGTTCCTTCAGATATCTATGGCAAATAGGAAATAATAAAACTGAACATGTTCCAGATTTTAAATACCTTGGCATAATTTTTTAAGCTTCCAGAAGTTGAAGAGAACAAATTAGATCTATTGCTGCCAAAGCTAACAGTGCCAAGGCAATTCTGGGCCTTTTCCATTCTAAAGAGAGTAGTTCAATAATTCCTACCATCCTTTTAAAAGCTAAAACTGTATTTCATAATTTGTCTAGTTCACAGACATGTGCCTATAATGATCAAATGCCTTTAAGTACTATTTAATCCACAGTAGTGATGATTATCTGGATTTACCGATTAATAAGGGCTGCATATTAAAAGAACTACGTTATATAATTTTGAATGGAAAAAATGGTTTTAATTATGTTTATATCTGATGTGAAGAAAATCAGATATGGCTTCCTTAGCTATATTCCTGTTTTCTTTTTCTATTTGTCCTAATATTGAAGCAGAGACATTTTGAATATTTTTTCCTGTTCTATTTTTATTTGCTATGTTCTATTCTATTTCAGTTTATCTTGTTTAAGGTTTCTTTTTAATTCCAATTTCTTAAGTCTCTTGTGACTAATTCATTGCTTCTATTTTATGTGGTTATTTTTTCTGTGCTTCATCTTGCCAGTAAAAGACTTAAATTAAGAACAAAAATTAGAAAATCCAACAGTAAGCCTAGTTTGGTAAAATAAGCCATGTTGCTGGGTTTTGTCTCATTGAATTAAACCATAATAATGCCAGATTGCATTTCACATAGGAGCCTAGACATGCGTAGAAAAGCTGTCAGCAACAGTCAGTCACACTATACGTAAGCAGACCATCAACCAACTTGTTCAGTAACAACTCAGTTACTAATAGCAATAGCATTTAGACTTATATATAGCTTCATAGTGCTTTACAACCTTAAGCGATTTATAGAATCAGCACTGTCCCCAACAATCTAGATCATTTTCCTCCTGCATTGCACTGCACAACAGCTGAACAGAGCCTATGATTTAGTGCAACATGCAAATCCACTCATGCAGTGTATGTATTCTACAACTGAGCTACTGTTTCCTCTTCTAGAAATGCAGTTACTTTTCTCTAAGTACCTTTCCAAGGTCTCCAAATGAATGCCTTTGCCTTCTTTACTTCAACTTCCTCCTGTTCAGTAGTGGAGGATCCATTAACTTCAATCTGCAAGGCAGAAATGCTTATTTAAAAAAAATGATTCCTATCTCCTACTGTTTTCATATAAATGCTCCCGAAATTGCTGGATAACAAATATAGTTGATTTCTTGAAAGTTGGATTAAATCTGTCTTTTGGGGAAAGGTTGGTCTTAAGTTCTTGTTATTAAAATATGGAATTGTAAATGTATTTTGATGCTAAATTCATAGTGAGAATATTAAACTTTAACTTGTCAGTTAACAATGACTTCAAATATCTTCTTGAAAAATAAACCTTGTGAAGCTTTAAGACCAATCTTTGTATTTGTCATAAAGAAGCAGGGGCAGTTGCCATAAGAATACTGTAATATTCTGTTTCCTCAGTTCAGAATTGCAAATAACGTAATCATGAATTCTGAAATTCTGCTTTTAATGTTTAACATTATGTTCCCCAAACCTGGATAAATAACTTAATATTGGATAAAAGTGAGGATTCTTTTGATAATGACCATAAAACCACTACACCGGGGTATTAAACTCAATTTTATTGAAGGCCGCATCAGGGTTGTCTTCTACCTCAGGGGGCCGGAATGGGTGTGGCCAGAAAGGGTGTGGCCAGCTTGACATCACTCATATTGGGGGGGTACCTGTGATGCCCTGAATGCTCTGCCAGCAAAAACAGGCTCCCGAGCTCCGTTTTCAGCTGCAATGGCCTCCTGCAGTCCTCTGCCAGTGAAAACAGAGCCTGCAGCCTACCCTAGCTCTGTTTTCACTGGCAGAGGTACCGTGGGCCTGTCCTTCACTGTTTCCAGGGCAGCCCGTGGGCCAGATCTAAGTATCCCACAGACTAGATCCTGGGCCTTGAGTTTGATACCCCTGCACTACACAATCACAACAGAGATATTTGAATACTTTCTGATAAGTAATTTTGCATAATGAAGGAAATGGTTGGGAAGCACTGACCTAAAGTAAGAAAAAAAGAAAAACAAGCACTTCTCTACCCAGATAGTTTGTACCTGACCAAGTGACAATGCTGTCTAATTTTTAGGAATAACACTGAGAAATCCCTGATTAAAATGTAAATATTTTTTCAAGGAATAAAAAATCTACAGAAAATAGATAATTTCTCCAGATCGGGTATAGGCAACTTTTTGGACTGCCTGGCATGTTTTAGAATTTTAAAAGGGTACTATGTCTATTTACAAAATGGCGGCCATCAATGGATTTGCTTCTTCACAAAATAGTTGTTGCATGCATGTAGTCACAAAACCTAGATTTATCAGAAGAAAAACTGAGATTTCTGTTATTCATATTATAGCAAAGGATGCTTTCTATGAATTCAAAGTAGCTTTGTCTTTTTTTCTAGACAGAACAGCACTGAGCTACACTATGCTGGCTTTCTAAAAGTTCTCATGGGGCTGATACATGGTCCACAAGCATTCATATGAACAAATATGATCTGAAAATTAAGGCTTTACTTTGTTATGTGGGTATCTCCCATGTATTTATTTAAAATTAAGAATAAAGTTGAGAAAAGAGAGTATGGCCAAAGGAGGAACCATTTCCTACAATTCCCCAAAATATGAATGCCCATATAAAATAACCGTGTCTGTCTAATTCAATGCAGTGTCTACTTATTGGCTGTAGCTCTCCAAAATCCAATCTCCTAAAACATTAATGCGTTAAGAATCATGATAAGACCAGAAAGTATTTCTGGAGTGTTCATATACACAATCTAAAACATTAAACAGAAGGCATACATTTAAAAAATATTTTGTTAAATATAAGACAGCTAACCTGTAGAACACGAAGAACAGAATTTAATTAAATTGCTACCAGGGATAAAAACTGAACTCAGGAATAAAAACATTTTAATTATATAGCATGTTCAAGTAATTTCTGAAGGATGGCAGTTTGATTTTCACTGGGTTGCTCCAACTAACATCTAGAATTCAAAAATTGATAGTAATAATCCCTGATGGCCATCTGATTTCTTTAAAAAAAATACTGACAATTTTCTGTAAAAGGTTCTTTTCCTAGCAATTTTCAAAGGAATCATTTGCTTGTAAACATACTTGAGTTTCCACACTATAAGATTTCAGTTGACTGCATTTTTGTATTTCATTTTATGGGCATGGGATGGGGTGGGGAATGATGACGTGACACAATGCCATGACTTAAGCAACGGTATCAGGCTCTGTAATCCAACTCCATTATATTCTACAACAGCACTATCATGAAGACACTATTGTAGTTTGTTACAGTACCCTTTATAAGTTTTCTGAGTTTTCAGCAAATCTTAACATGCTTGCCTAAGCAGATTAGAGAAGTTCTTAAAGGAGCAATAAATACCAGCAGGAAGCTTACAACCTAGGCCCTAGGAAAAAGCTGGTTATATCAATTCAAACTACTGTATAAAGTGCATGTTCCTTGTTTCTTAGGCCTTGCTGTCCTTATTTGTTACCAATTAATTGTGTTACAACAATTGAAGTCACTATTAACAAAATTGTCTGTAAATCTAGATTTAAAACCCAGAATCTTTTAAACCTGTAACATCCAATTATTCTGTTAACTGTTACTTCTTTTATTTCCCCATACCACATCTTTTTTTTCTTTTCCCATTAGCATTTTTATTAAGTTATAAAATATAAAATACAAAATAGGTAGAAAAGCAGTAATGGGGGAGGAGAGAGAAGTGAGGAAAGATAAAAAAGAAAAACGTTAACCCTTTTCATCTTTTTTTCAATATATCACCATCATCTGTTATTTCTTGGGAACCATGGTTTTACCCTACCCTATTACAATTACTCTTTAACTTAGTTCATTTAGTGACCATTTGAAGTTACAACAGCACTGAAAATGTGACATAACTGTTTTTCACACAACATTGCAGTATCCTCATGGTCATGTGATAAAAATTCAGATGCTTGCCATCACATCCTTATTTATGGTGGTGACAGTATTCCAGGATCATGTGATCCCCTTTTGCAATGTTCTGACAAGCAAAGTCAATGGGAAAGCCAAATTCACTAAACAACTGTCTTACTAATTTAAAATTAGTGATTCACTTAACAACTGTGGCAATAAAGGACATGATAGGACAAAATTCACTTAAATGTTTCACTTAGCAACAGGCATTTGGGGCTTAATTGTGGTCTTAAGGCAAGGACCACCTGTACTTTCATCTCTTAACTTCCCTTGCATATATTCTTAAACTTTGTATTATTTATTAAGAAAAACATTTAGTTTATGCATTTATATTTCAGATTTCTAAACCACCCATCTCCCTCAAAGATGAATGAAACTGCTATTTAAACGTCTCCTTGTCCATTCTCACATCTTTCTCCCTCAGGATACTATTACTAAGCCTTCTTCCACTCATCCAGCTTTTTAATTCTCTACCTTTCTGTACCTATGAGCTTTGCCCAGCTTTTTCAATAAATCCAATTATATTGCTAGGGTCCATGAGAGGATTAATTACACATTAAAATGATTCTTTAAAAATCTAGGCTGTAAGTATTCTGACAACTCTGCTTTTCCAAGAATTTTAAATCTTATACACACTGCCTACCATTATTGTTCTTCAGTCTGATGCTTCATCACACAAGGACTCTTTGCATTACAGAAAAACTTGATGCACCGAATAAATGCTGAAACTATTCAAACAGATATCAACCTGAAAGTTAGATGCAATGCTAAATAGGTCACTAGGAAGCCTATCAGTGTGTGTGCTTTATATGTCAAAATTTAAAATTAACAGTAGTGAGGCAGGGATCTTTTTAGCTAATTGGAATGCATGAGATAATTTCCACTGATATGGCAACACTGAGGCACAAATGGTAAAACATCCCTTCTTGATGCTTGCTAATAATTAAAATTAATAGCTTGGATTCTTAACTATATAGCCAGTTTCATGTGTTATTATAGCCATATGATCAAAAAAGAATCAGAATGGGTTTAAATATATCTAAAGAAACTGTAAATGAGTAAAGTATGAAGAACCATCCTAAACTACTTATACAAAGATCAGCTGATCTTTGTGGCCTATGATTAAAATAGGATACCACATATAGGATATGGCGGTGTTTCTTCAGTCACTGCTTGGAAGAAGGGATTATCTGATCCCTTAATATATATTTTTCAATCCGATGCCTTCCTGGTGCCAGACTTATGAGAGTTGTAGTCCAACAGGTACCAGAATGAGGAAAGCTTTAAAATATTTTTTACCTCAGGAAAGATACATGGCTGCCTAATCTTATTCAATTAAGTTCAGTCAGCACTTCCACTGCATTTTAAAAAAACCACCTCCGAGTGAAATTAGCGTGCTTCGAATTTAATTAATCCCACTCGTCCCGGACAGCGTTCAACGGTCGCCTGACACCCCTCCCAGCACGCTATTTTAATTTCAAACATTGTGCTTCGTTACCTAGCAAGAAGCGGGAATATGTAACGCATATTCCAGAGTTTGACAACGACCTGCTTTTTTTAAAAAAAAAATTGCTTAGTACAAAAGCATCAACTCGAAAGTACGAGTTTGAAATGCCACCAATCCAATTCTCGCGTCTCGTGGGTAATTATCTGCATTATCTACACAGCTTCCCAGTCAATGGCACGTATAAGCGGCCTCGCCGTTCTCCATTGAAGCATAAGCATTTCATTGAACCGGTTCCTAAAACGTGTTTCCTAATCCTGGGAAGCAAAGCCCTTCCCTTCCCCAAGGGTGGCTCAAGGCTTGCAACTCCGCTGTTCGGCTGCCACCGCCAAATCCTTCGCCCCGCTACCCGGCCCTCGCGCCCGGTAAACGGTATCCCCCAGTCCTGCCTCACCCTGCAATCTAGGCTACGCCCCTGGGGAGTGGCCGTCTCCATGCCCGGCCGACGGAGCTCTCCCGACTCCAAGCAGATTCCGCCCCACACCCTTCTCACGAGAAAACTCGGCAAAGGCGCGGCTCACGTGGCCAGCCCAAGCTTTGCACTAGATCCGCCGGCCGGGTCTGTTTGACTTGGCGCGCGCGCCTGCTGCACCTTTTTTATTTTAATTTAATCCCGCCTTTTTTTTTCCATAGACAACTCAAGACAGCCAACGCGCACTACCAATAAAGGAAGTTCTTGATTTAGACCACAATTAAGCCGAGAATTTATGTGGCTAAGTGAGAAATTGGTTTAAGTGAGTTTTGTCCCGTTTTTACAACTTTCCTTGCACCGTTTGTTAAGGGAGTCATTGCCAGTTGTTAAATAGGTAGCACGGTTGTTAAATGAATCTGGCTTCCCATATTGACTTTGCTTGTCAGAAGGTTGCAAAAAGTGGTCACATGACCCTGGGACACTGCAATGGTTGTAAATATGAAGTTGTCAGGCATCTGAATGTAAATCGTGGGACCATGGGGATACTACAATGGTCACACATGTGAAAAATTGTCATGTACTGTTGTAACTTTGAACTGTCAGCAAACAAGCTGTTGTAAATTGAGGACTACTTGTAGTCCTTCCTACTCCTGTTTTCCCCATGATCCTGCCAACTGAGTTGGACTGAGACAGTGCCAATTCTGGACACTGAAGCCTCTATCTTAAAATAGAATGATCATGGTCTATGGATGCGTTCAAAAACTTTTAATGGTTCAGAGGAAAGAAGGAAAGGCTTGTTCATTGAAACCCCTCTCTTGAGTACAGGCAAAGGAATCGTATCATTACCTGAATTTAGATGGTCATGCCAACATTGAAAATCTGCCTTTTAAAACTGCCAATGTTGGAAAGTTATGGAGAGTGTGTGTGTGAAAGCTAAGACAGATTTGTGTTGTTGGAGAAAACCAGGAAACAGTTGAACTTCATTTTATGCACCACCATCTTTCCATTACTTGTGGGAGAATACCTTGGCTAAAGAGAAAATGTTTTGATGAAAATCCCAGTTCCTTAGTGTTACCGATAGGATAGGATAGGATAGGATAGAATAGGATAGGATAGGATAGGATAGGATAGAATAGAATACTTTATTGGCCAAATATGACTGGACACACAAGGAATTTGTCTTGGTGTAAATACTCTCAGTATACATAAAAGAAAAGATACATAAACTCCATCCAGGGATCTTTGATTTCAAGGTGAAACATGCCCAATAAAACCTGGCACCAACTGTGCTTCCTCAAATATGACAACAACAAAAATGCCCTTTTATGTACTCTCGGGTGCTAGACCAGGGCAACTGGATCTCTGCTGGGTACCTGATATTTGATTCATGTGGACCAGATTTGTTTTCTGCTTGCTGTTTATGTAAATGGTTATTTTTATATTTCCTTGGGTTGTAAGCTGCGAAAAGTTAGTTGAGTTCAGTGACACAAAGTTGAATATTATTTAATACTCAGAAATGCTCATTTTTCAAAGGTGAACCCTAACATTGAAAAGTTTCTGACGTTAACATTCTGAAGTCTTCTTCAATGTAAAAATTGAGGTTTTCAGAGCTCCCTGGCTCTGGCCCAAATCCTCGTTGTGTTAGCCATTTACCTCACAAACAGACATTTCAGTTTAACAATCTTGATGACTTATTTCAAATCTTTTCACAAATAATTGATCGGGTAGAAATCAAGAGTGGGGAAATAATTCAGGGAAATAATTCAAGGAGCTGTACATCAAGACATTCAGAAATTTTAAACAAGAAATTGCCTTTATTTCTTAGTAATAAAGCATATTCTCATATATAGGTATCGTTGACGAGATTATGACCTCAGTAAATTACAATTTATAAGCCAGATCACAAAATATCAGAGTACAAGCCCAACTGCTTCTGAGGGCCATTTGACTTCTCAGATCAAGGTACATGCTATTATAAGTCTATCCAAACTACCTGCAGCTAGCTTCTGATGCACAAGTGATTATAAATTGAATTCATCTATCATGCTAAAATAAAAGGTGATTTTTGGTGTTTCACAAATCTAGTTATTTTGAAATTTTTTACAGTTAAAACTTAGCCCAAAGTATGAACTCAGCCACTAAGTTACGAATTGCATTAAGCCACAATGGATTTGATTCTTGGTTTGTGATGTGTCAAACCAGTTAAATAAAACTAGGTTTGATAATATATATACTACTACCTAAAACTCTTGTCATGACCTTTAACTGGATGAAACGGTGCATCATGGGGCAACAATTTTTGAACCAAAGTACCTCAAATACCTCAAATACAGAATGTGTCCAAATCTCCTGGAATTTGGGAAAGCTGTGACTGCTTCAGTGCTACTTACTGTTGCTACACTGCTGTTGTAATCACATGATCTCCATTTTCCGTTAACAATTTCCCAGCCACATTTGAAAGCCCTCTCTCCGTCCCTCACCCAGAGCAGCTACCTACCTGCCTGCTGGGAAGGTAAGGAAAGAATGCTCCCTGCCTGATTCCCACAATCCTTCCCTCCCAAATGCACCAAAATACTTTTGCCTAAAACAACTGCATTTCTGTTTGCCATCTGGAACAAGCATGCATGTTTTACTTTTTACACAAATCACCCAAAACTAGCTGTTCCTGGAACAATCTCTATGTGACCATTTACATTTGTTTGGCAGACAACTTCTATCCAGTAGCCAGAATGAAATCCAGTTCTATCACAATAATATAAAATATAAATAGTTCCTATCACAAAACAGTAGCAAAATAAATGTAAAATTAAGTTTGTTCTTCCACTTTCCCTGAAAGTATATATGTATATTAATTAAAATCTCAAATTGTTACATTTATGTTAACTCCAGTAATGTGGAGAGAATACGGATGTTAGGCAATTTTTAGTAGCAAGTAATTTATTCAGGGAGCATTCATTATACACTTGACTCAACTAAAAGCCAAGAGTTTCCATAGTTGTTAATTTAACCTGTTTAATTAACAGGTTAATTTGCCATTAGAATAAAAAATAATTTCTCACAGGTGCCCAGCTTGCAGCAGTGTATACTTTGAAATAAAAGTTTCCACTTGTTCTCCCTGCAGTATTTTCATAGCTCTCCAGTGAATACTGCCACAATTCTCTGGTTTGCCTTGAGAATGATTCAGCTCTTCTTTGATATAATCCAGCCAAAGATCTTCAATTTAAAAAAAAAAATCATAGTTACAACTGTAATAATGGAAATGCTACAAAAAAGGGGATGATGGGTCAGAAACTACTATGGACTTTCTGCATATGAATTACAATAAGAGACTGTTAACAAAAGGTTTTGAAATTTGGCTGCTGGTTTTATCTGTTAACTATGTTTCCATAATAGTAGATATCAGGCCAAGTGGGTTGTAAATTGTAGAAATTTATGAATAGTGTGTTTGCTTCACAAAGAAAGAGGAGTTATTATCTCTGAAAGATATTTGTCATTATTCAATGGGGTGGAGGGACAATTTATGTATATGTTTTGTTTTTTTTCTTTTCATGCACATTTTTATGTAGTCTTGTCTAGTTTTGTTTTGCTTTTATATTTTTCTTTTTGGAATTTGTATTTTAATGTTTTGAATAGAATAAAAAAAAAGATGGAATGTTTCAACTCCACAGCATTCTGTAGAATTCCAAGACAGACAGAAAGGAAAATCAACAACTGCCACAATAAGCTTTGCTTGGTTCATTGAGAGACTTTTAACAGAAAGAATCAGGTGATTGCCATAGCTATAACAGAAATACAACTGAGAGTAGTCTTAGAAACCAACAAGTAAAAATTCTTACCAGGTTCTGTAGCACCAAATTCTCTCAAGGCACGTTCATAATATTCTCGGATGTTAAATATTTTACTGGATTCCTTTAAAAAATGGTGGGTGGTTACCATGCTGAGCTTAACAATGATAAAATGACTGGAATAAAACACATTTGTCATGCAATCTTAATCATCTTCTGAAACTTTATGCAGCCTTCATATATAAATCTTTCTGGGCATTCCTTCCCAATTTCTAGGAGCAGTTTGCACGTGGACAATCCAGGCACAAGAAATCCTGGCAAGTGAGAGAAGAACAGTCCTGACTGTGCTGCTTTTGAAGGACAGCAAGAAAGGGCAAGATAAGGCAGCTGTTTCAGAGGCCCTATTGGTTTTCTCCATCACAGCTGGTTACAGTACTGACTTCCTCAGAGCCCCCTTACGGGGTTCAGCCCTTATAGTGGCATATAGTCTAGATTCCCAGGAGAGAAGGAATGCATTCCAGAGGATGAAAATGACAGCCAGTTTAGTTAGGAGAAAGAGTTAGAAATTCTTCTCAGAGCATATCTAAGATATACTCTCAGAATGAATAAACTCTGGGAATATATCCTTAATGATGCAAGTATTTGCTTTAGTTTAGCAAGATTTCTGTCTATAGGAGAGGAACAATGACAAGAACTATTTATAGATAATTATGTATGTCTTTCTTGGTTTTGGAACCTGATAGGCCTATAGCTACAACATCTAGACCAAAAGAACCCTCCCTCTCTTTTTTTTTCCCAAGCCCCACCCCCAACTATTGCAGTCAGGGTAGGAGTTTCAGCTTCTCTCATTTGAGGGAAGTATTATATTAAGCTCCAGGGCACTCCCTCCCTCAAATACTCCCACAAAAGACATACTTACATAATGCAAAGGCATTATGCACCCAAGACAACCACTATAACCAGTGTGTATGAAACAATAATATAAGTGGCTTTTCAGCTCTTAAGACATTTAATGATTCAAAACAAAGATGAGAAACTTTTAATCTTTCCAATGTTGTTGATTTACAATTCCTTAGCACTAACAGCTGGCAGTGGATTTCTTAATTGTAGTTTGGAGTATCTAGAGAATCCAGAGGTCTGCCTCATCCTTTCCATTAGAACACCAATGAGGCCAGGATTTTCAAGAAACTGGGCATGTGTCAATAATCTGCCTATAAGCTTCAGGATGACTATTCCCAGGTGGCTTTTAAAATCAGATCAAGTATTTTACTGTGGCCCAGTCCTAGCAAAGCATGCTTTCCATTAGAAACCTCACATTGGTAAATACCTCTACAAATACTGCACATTATTTATTCATTTATTTGTTCTATCAAAACAATCGGTAAATATTTCCACCAATATCACTGTTATTCAGTGGTGGGATTCAAATTGTTTTACTACCGGTTCTGTGGGCATGGCTTGGTGGGCGTGGCAGGGGAAGGATACTGTAAAATCTCCAGTCAGAGGTGGTATTTGCCAGTTCTCCGAACTACTCAAAATTTCCGCTACCGGTTCTCCAGAACTGGTCAGAACTGCTGAATACCACCTCTGCTGTTATTCATTCATTTGATTTGGTTAGCTACCCATCTCAAGTGACACCAGGTCATCAACAAATTTAAAATAAAAATACAACCATACAAAAATTAAAACACATGGTACCTGAGAAAATAGTATACTTCATAATTACTAACACAACCAAGAAATCGGTCCCTACACTTATTTATAATACTTTTTAACTTACTTGTTCCTTTTCAATCTCAATCATTTTTTTGAAGAACTGGAGTGAAAATGGGCGGCATTCCTGCAGCCTAGGAGAGAAGTAATGGGGTAACTCACTTGATTTTAATAACAAATGGGGGTGGAGGAATATAGAAAAAAAGTGATTGAATAATGCTTTAGAAAAGAGATGTCCTAACCTGGTGAAGACTTGCTTTGCTTTCTTATAGCCACCGGTTCTGTGAGCCCACTCAAGGTACTTTTCTTTCAAGGCTATGGAGTCAGCAGAAAGTGTGGCAAGGAAAGATCTCTGCCAGTTAAATGCAAATGATTGTGAAGTCCATTAAATGACACAAAGCTTTTAAGCATCCACAGTGGACTTTGAAACCAAAGTCAAGAAGATTGGTTACTTTGTTCTGTGATAATTACCCACACCAAATTGGATCTATTGACTCGGCTAGAGGATATACATAGGTAGGCAATCTCCTATTCATACAGTTTAGTAAACCTGCTCTGGAGAATCTACAACCAGTCCCTGCTTAACAACCACTCATTCAGCAACTTTTTGAAATTATAATGATGCAGAATGAGGGGAACTTAGAGCAGGTCCTCGTAGCTGCAGCTGTCTCAAAATCCTTGCGGTCATATGATTGAAAACCAGGTACTTGACCATCAGCTTGCAATTACAATGTTGCAGCATCCCTCTGTTGTAGGAGCCTCTGTGGCACAGTGGGTTAGAGTGCAGTACTGCAAGCTACCTCTGCAGCCAGCTGCCTGGAGTTTGGCAGTTCAAATCTCACCAGGCTCAAGGTTCACTCAGTCTTCCATCTTTCCGAGGTGGGTAAAATGAGGACCCAAATTGTTGGGGGCAATAGGCTGACTCTATAAGTCTAAGTGCTATTGCTATCCCATGATCATGTGATTGCTATTTGTAACTTTCATTACCAGTTTCCAATAAGCAAAGTCAATAGGGAAGCCAGCAGGTGACAAGTGGCAATCACAAGACATTGCACTTTTAAAACGGCTTGGGATTCATTTAACAACAGTGACCGGAAATGATGGAACTACATTGCTAAGTGCTAGGGTCACGTGACATTGTGCTTTACCACTGCGTTGCTTAGCAATAGAAATTCTGTTCCTAATTACCCTTGTTAACTGAAAACAACCAATATTTCTGAATCCATTCATTGTAATTAAAGACTGTGCTTCAATATGTTTATTACTCCATTTCAGGATACTCTTTATGATCTTATGTTGGTATTGTTAGGTGGAATATATTATTTTTATTTATTTATTGCCTTTTTTATTTTTGATAAATAACTCAAGTCATATACATAACTATTCCTAGTACTCCTTTGACCTCCTAGTTTCTCCACAACTACAACAAAAACCATGATTCATTTATGAATGGAAAATACAATACCTGATAGAGAGCTTCAGTCTCTGCTTTACTACTGGCACCTTCACTCCATTCTAGCCATAAAGTCCATAGTGGCAAGGTGTCCTACAGGGAAAAATAACAAAAAACCAGGAGAAGAAAATATTGGATACAAGTTGTATAAAATACCTGTAATAATGTGAGACTGGAGAATGGCTGGCAAATTTTGATTTTGTAGCAGGCAAATTAAAAGGCACCGAAATGCCTGAAGTACAGGTAGTCGTTAAATTATGACTACAAACGAGCTCAAAATTTATGTTGCTAAGTGAAACATTTGTTAAGTGAGTTTTGACCCATTTTACAGCTTTCCTTACCACAGTTGTTAAGTGAATCACTGCAGTTGATAAGTTAGTAACACAGTTATTAAGTGAATCTGGCTTTCCCATTGACTTTGCTTGTCAGAAGGTCACAAAAGATTATCACATGACCCCCCCGGGACTCTGCTACCATCATAAATATGAGTCAGTTACCAAGCATCTGAATTTTGATCATGTGACCATGGAGATGTTGCAATGGTTGTAAGCGTGGAAAACAGTCATGTGACATTTTTCAGTGCCGCTGTAACTTTGAAAGGTCACTAAATGAACTGTTAAGGACTACCTGTAGTATGGCAGAAAATATATTGATGAAATTAAGGAGCCTCTCTCCTATAGAAAGGGACTAGTTTAAGTAAGTGAAGTCCTGCATTACACACGCCATGCAAAAAGGGGAACTCAGAAAATAAGCTACGTTATTTTCATAGCTAAATGGTTTTGTCTCTGGGATCTTTAAAATATAAGGGGTGTGAAGAACTATATTGTAATAGTGCTGGAGTTACTAACAGTTACCACAATAGAATGCCATGGCCTTGATGACAAGTGTTCATCAGTGGTGGGATTCAATTTTTTTTACTACTGGTTCTGTGGGCATGGCAGGGGAAGAATACTATAAAATCTCCAGTCAGAGGTGGTATTTGCCGGTTCTCTAAACTACTCAAAATTTCCGCTACCGGTTCTCCAGAACTGATCAGAACCTGCTGAATACCACCTCTGCTCATCATCCTATGGACAATCGTAAGCAGGTACTCATACAAGCCCACTAGGCCTGGGATAGCCCACTGTTAAGTGCAAGAAGCAAATGAAAAAAAGCTCTTTCACTGCCTCTGCCAGGAGCCCTGCCAATTCATCTTTCCCTAGGTGGTAAAATGTGACTTTTTGACAGTGCCACTGTCAAAAGTTGACCTTATGAATGGAGAGAGCATTTCAGATCACTAAGCAGATTCTGAAATCGTGCTAGTTACTTCATTTTAGGCAATACAGATAGTCCTTGTTTACTGACCACAATTGGAAGTGGCAACTCTATCATTAAACACAGGAAATCATATGACCACGATGGCTTATGATCTTACTTCCCATTTGGTCTTTATGAAAATCACACTGGTTATTAAGCGAGATCACATGATCACAACTTGCAAATTTCACTTCTACATTCTTCATTAATTTTGCTGGTTGGAAGCCAGTTGTGAAGGGCCTGAATGGCAATCACGTGACAGCAGAACACTAAAGATGTTGGATTAGTCGCAAAGCTTTTTTTTTTTTCAACAACAATATCTTTGAACAGTCACTAAATGAGTCAGTCAATAAGCGAGGACTACTTTTATGGAATTTTTACTTCGTAGATTGTAGTATTTTATACTTGCACAATTTATTAATACACATTATATCCATAACTTGTGCTGCACTTTTATTAATAAGACTCCTTGTTATGATGGCATTCTATCTCACCCATTTGATTTGACTTTTGCATTGTAGATTTGGTAAACTTTGCTGGTCAAGGACTCAATGAATGTTACTGTTACTACTAGTTTCAGATGACTTTCATTTGTGAGAGAGAACTCCCAGGTTCCAAGTATTCCTTCATACAACCTCAAATGCAGAACAGAGCTCCTACCTTAGCTTTAACCACTTTGAAAGCCTCCTGGGCACAAGTAGCCACTTCACTGCTCTTCAGTTTCAGCAGCAACTGCAGCCTCATTTCCCACATATCCACCAATTGGCTGAAACGGTTTGTGGCTGCTGCAGCCACCTCTCTGGCCTGGTCTTCACGATCGAGTTCCAGCAGGAGCTGAATCTGAAAGGACACCACATCAAAATAAGCACCAAATGGTTGCTTCCAGGAATGGTTTTCTAAGCTCCAAATCCACCCTTTCCGGTTTATGTGAGTAGGAACTTTTTAACTGCAAGGACCACATCCTTCCTTACCCACTGTTTATAGAGAGGAGCTGGCAGCAATTGTGATTCATGAGCTTGGCTGAAAACATTCTGTACCCTTTCCAGTCTCTGAAACAAGATGGAAGGAAATAAAAACACTTTTACTGCAGTACAAATGAGTTTTCATAAAATCTCACAGAGCTTTTGAAGTCATGATCCTGAGTACTAATGGCTAAATTTTTTTGGAACTGTGTGTAGTCAAAATGATATTATTTATGGCACCAAAGGAAAAAGTGGCGGGTTTGGGAGAATTTCAAGAAATGGACAAAAACCAAGTTTAAAAAATTAAGGAAAAAATCTTCCACCCACCAGGCCAATCAAATCAATGAATCTTGAACTGACTTGATGGGAAGAGAAGAGGAAAACTGAAAGGATGAAAATTTAGAGATACTGAAAACTCATCTTATCTGGCTGAACCTCAAACCCTGTAGTGCATACCATATTGTAATATTTTGCTGCAGGAGCCATGTAGCCCACAATCTCAGTTGCCAAGAAGCACTCTTTTGTAGCCCTCTGCTGTTCCTTCTCAATGCAAATTCTTTTCCTCACTACCGCAGCCATTGCCTCCTCTCCATACTCCATTGAACTTGAGAGGTGGAAGTGCAGTACTGGGCATGAATCTATGCCCAGATTAATAGCCATCTACAGTATTTATTATTACATGTGGCCCTCAGGACTGAAAAGACTGTTCAGCTTTTCTGCAAAGCAGCCAACAACTGAATACTTAGATGTTACATCTATAATTGCATCACAAGCTGAACTTAAACAGGAGAATCCAAGTCTACTTTAATATTCTTGCATCATTTTTTAAAGTTCCCAGCATTTGTAAAATGTCATAATGAATAATTTTAAATGTTATTTGTTTCATTTGTATCCTGCCTTTATTTTTACAAATAAGGTGGCAAACACATCTAATACTCCTTCCTCCCCCTATTTGCCCCAAAACAACAACCCCGTGAGACTGATTGGGCTGAGAGTGAGTGACTAGCCCAAAGTCACTCAGCTGGCTTTCATGGCTAAGGCAGGACTTGAACCCAGTCTCCCACATTCTAGCCTGTTGTCTTAACCACTAGACCAAACTGTCTCTCATTAGCTTAGCTTTATCATAATATTACTGTATATCACAAAGATTCTTCACAAAATCTTCCTATTTAAAAAAAAAACATCAACTAGCCATTAGTCATTAAGGGCATATATCAAAGATTTTACTTTTTATTTTGGAGCAGAATAGCCATTTTGCAGTCCAACCTTAGAAATTAGGAGCCAACCAGATAAGCTCTCAAGATGAGACTAGGTGTCTCTTTGTTTAAGTGAAGTTCTATATTATTGAGTAATCAGAATAGGGAAGGTAGGTCAGAATATGCCTGTCCATCCTGCAGAGGCATATGGTATAGGCGTGGAATGGCACTTCTGGCCATGCCTCACTAAAATCATAAGAACAGATAAACACAGGCAAACTATACAAATCAAAGCCACACACATTCCAGACCATGGTTTACTTCAGTGAAGTCTCTCTCTCTTAATCAAGCCGTAATATTCTATTTAATAAATCAATTTTCTAAAAATCTTTTCAGGCTGGGAACTGAGGGACTTGCCAGTGAAGTCCCTCCAGGGGAAATAGCAGCATCAGTAACAGAAGACACAGGTATTATTCCAAAGGCAAAGCATTTACCTTTTTCCTTAATTCTTCATTGTTGGTCTTTCGGTTACATCTTTCCAAGGTAAAAGTGACATAACACTTCCACATTTCCTCTGCAAAATTCAAAACACTTGTTATTTCTTCTGAAAACAAAAGACAAATTTATTCACAACTGTGAAGCGGAGTCTAACTTCTGAATAATCTGTTTCAAGTCAGCATCGGTTCTGCTAATTCATCACAAGTCTCTTTTCCTCCTTCAGCAGACGTGGCATTACCACATTAAGCCTCAAGGGAGCACTGTGGTGCTCTGCATCTTTCTTATAAGTCAGCATACACGGCCCACTTAGCTTCCTTGTAGAAATCACTAGCGAAGTTGACTTACAGAGACAATACCAAAGTATGACAAGGAAGCTGTTAAGGGCGCAAACTGCCATATCCTCCTCATGTTCCTTCTCATTTCACCGCAAGAGTACATTAGAATTGGGTACTAGAAGATTTGAATTTGTGGACTTTAGGAATAAAAAGGTGGAGGCCTTTGCTAGATATGCTCTATTAGTACAAAAATGAAATAAAGCAATTCGCAAGCTTAATGACAAGAAGAGCCAGCCTGCCAAATAACATTCGGCCACACGTTGCCTATTTCCATCTGCTGCTTGTTGGAACTGAACCCCATGAACTGAATACAGATTTTCAATATTAGTTCACACAAAAATAGACAGCCCCCTTTATTATGGAAAACTTCGACAATAATTTCAAGTATATGGAACAGACTTTTTGGACAGGTAAAGGTAGACCTCGACTTACGACCAGAATTGAGCCCAAAGTTTATGTTGTTAAGTGGGTTTGCTCCATTTTACACCTTTTCTCTCCACATTTGTTAAGTGAGTCACCGCAGTTCTTAAATTAGTAACATGGTTGTTAAGTGAATCTACCTTCCCTGTTGACTGCTTGTCAGAAGGTCACAAAAATGTGATCACATGACTCTGAGACACTGCAAATGTCATAAATGTGAGTCAGTTGCCAAGTGTCCGAATGTAAATCACGTGACCACAGGGATGCTACAATGGTCGTAAGTGGGGAAAATGCCCAAAGGTCACTTTTTTCAGTGCCGTTTGAACGGTCACTAAATGAACTGGGCTACCTGTATTTGAGTTCTCAAGTCCATAGCTTCAGAATGTATCCAGGAAAAAAAAAAGAAGTCTAACCAGTGGGAAGGTGTGTGATTGCCTCCTCAAATACAGCACAACACCGTTCTTCTTTGCGGGCAACCTCTAAAGCCTTGGACTGCTTCGACTTAGGTTGTTCTGAAGGAGGCAGGGATTCCATCTCCAGTTCCCGCCGTGCCATGAAATCCCACACAAGAGGATCATTGTCATACATTGCCTGCAAGCTAAAAGAAAAGTTGCATTATGCTATTAGCTATGAGTGGCTCCCTTCCTATAAAGCTCTGGTGTAATTGCCAGTGCTTTTGTTCCATAAAAGGTAAGCAACCATAAGCAGGAACGTTTTGCTTATGTTAATGGAACTCCCCCAGTGTGCACAGAAACAGGAATGCCTTCAGCTAGAGGTACTTTGGATGTTCCGAAGACTAGCGAACTACCACACACTCTACATAAGCCTAGCCAAATGATTTGGGAAGGACGTGTTCCTGCTTCTGTGTCCTACATTAGAATTACATCCCTTCAGATGGTAGCAGTCCCATTTACATGCTCCTTGTGTTAAATATGTACATACCTCCTAGAACAGGGGTGGTGGACGACTGTAGCCCCTTTATGACCTGTGGACTTCAACTCTGAGAATTGGTGGCTGGCTCAGGAATTCTGGGAGTTGAAATCCACAGGTCGTAAAGGGGCCATAGCGGCCCACCCATCCTAGAAAATAGGAAACTTGGCACAAGAAGAAGTAAGTTAGATAACACATTTTCTTTTCTCATGCTAGAAGCTTAAAAGGAATTTGTACACGCCAGTACTAAAAAAAATGGTTATCTTGCACCCAAAGCCTCTGCAGACACAACATAGTTATGAAGATCAAGGACATTATTTTTTAGTGCAAGGGAGATACATACATAAATCCAAACAGATTTATGCTTATCAGTTGTTTATACTCAACTGTACTCACAGCTAAGATGATGGACCCAGAATGAAAAGACTCTGGAGGCCCATCTGACCATGGGACCCATTTGATAATTTTATCTACTTTCTGCCTCAGCCCAACAAATCTCACCATTGTGCTGTTGTAAGAATAAACAAAGTGAGCTACAGCACGTTGAGCTACCAGGTGAAAGTCAGGATGCCACACAAAATAAATACAAATAGATAAAAATAGGGGAGGGGAAGGGAGGCATGCTCTTTTCTGAACAGCAGCTCTTAAATTATGCTGTTTCTTACTATTATTTTTAAGTCACATAATTCACGCAGGTACATAAGGCAAATCCAGATAATTAAATGGGCAAATAAATATTTTCACACAGTTGATCGTGGCCTGAAGATTCTGCTGTTTGTGGATATAAATGGCAGATGCTATCCATCTTGGATAGCAAGATAGGCAGTATATATGTGTATGTATGAAAATAAATAAAACAAATTACATCAGCTGTTAAGATACCTGTTTAAAAGCAAGGCTGTGCTAATAAATGCCTATACTTAAAAAGATTTTTTCCTTTTTTATGGTATGCTAAGCCTGTCTTACCTTCCAAGGACTGGAAAGCAGCTCATATTTAAAAAGCTGCATTAGAAAACATTCACAATAATCAATATCAATGTATATTCATCAGAATATCTAAGGTATAGTTAAAAGCACCATGACTGGAAACAGAATATTTCATAGCACGATCACTTTTAACCTCTTTTCCCCAGAAGGGAACAAGGCACTGATGCTGCAGTTCTCACCTGGCTGAGCTTTCCAGGGAAAAGGGGAATTTGAAAAATGGTTACAGCCTAAGAAAAGAAAATCTGCCCAAACATAAGCCACTGACAAGTACTCAATAATTTTACTTTTTAAATACATATTAAAATCTTATTAATTAAAAACAGAGCCAATATAATAACAAGACTTGCATCTTTGCACTGGAGCATCTTAAGTTGAAGAGAAACAATCTTTGTTTTTGCCAGAGCCAAACCAAAAATGAGACCAAGTTATGCAATTAATCTAATCCTGACTTCTGGAATATGGTGAAATAATTCTAAACCTTAAACATGCAGTCTTTTGGGGTAGACTAACACATGATAGAATAATGGTTGTTGAAGGGTGCAAACCGCACCCAGAACTTACTTTTCAAGAATTTCTTTCTGAAGGTCTTGTGTAAAATCGAAACATTTTGCAACTGACAAAAGCGAAAGCGCAAACTCTGCACCTATAACAAAGGATACATTAATCAGGGTACTCCAAGCATCATAATAAGGATTGCAGCTTCCCTAATTGTACCCCTACCTCCTTTGACGTTCCCAGACTCCTTGCCCCATCTAACATAAATGGGGTGCTGGCATGTTGTAAAATAAACTCCCTCTGTGCCGTACTGTCAAAAAAATATTCACGCCCTGTGATTTTTATCTAGGGTATGTTTGCTGTGTATATTTTGCCCAGTACCTTGGTATTTTTCTCTTGTATGCAAATCAAGTGTCAGTAACTAGATTTTCTTTGAAATGAATATTCTCTTGCAATTGGTGACATCAAATATGCAAGTTATTCTCCTCAGACTCTTTTCTGTTCCTCCTATTCATTTTCTTAGCCAATTACCTGTCTCCAAGTCTCATCAGCATTAGCCCCTTTGTTAAACAACTAATGACACAGGCTTAAAATTCCAGATATGCTTGCTTATTGGCCCAAAGAACACCAATGTGTTAAAAAAGTTGAAGCATGTCTACCCTAAACTCACAAAAGGAAATAAGAGCATTTTTACCCTAAACTAATACTGCATAGAGAAAAGGTATCTCCCCAATGCTTGAAGAAAATACAGGTAGTCCTTGATTTATGACCATAATTGAGCCCAAACTTTCTGTTGCTAAGTGAGACAGATATTAAATGAGCTTTGCTCCATTTTAAGGCTTTTCTTGCCTCAGTTGTTAAGTGAATCATTGCAGTTGTTAAATGAATCTGGCTTCCCCATTGACGTTGCTTGTCAGAAGGTGTTCATGTGACCCTGGGACACAGCAATGGTCATAAACGTGAGTCAGTTGCCAAGAGTCTGAATTTTAATCATATGACCATGGGGATGCTGCAACAGTGTGAAAAATGGTCATGTCACTTTTTTCAGTGATGTTTGTAATTTTGAACAGTCACTAAATGAACTGCATTTTTAGGACTTCTAGATAGCTGACTAGCTAATTCGTCTAACCAACCATTTTGAGCGACCAGATTTCGATGCATCAAGAAGGCACCATTAAGCTGTTTGGTGTATTGGTTAAGGCACCGGGCTAAAAACTGGGAGACTATGAATCCCAGTCCCGCCTTCGACAGGAAACCAGCTGGGTGATCTTGGGCCAGTCACCCTCTCTCAGCCCTAGGGAGAAGGCAATGGCAAACCACTTCTGAAATCTTACTAGGGAAACCGCAGGGACCAACCCAGGAAGTTTCCAGGAGTCAAAAATGACTTGAAGCAACTAAATATTTAAACAATTGAGATGAACTATACTCATGTTTGAAATTAAAAGAACAACAAGATAATGTACAAGTGGGTAAGATTACAAGTTTAAGAGTAATAGGTTACCTTTTATTTTTTCAGTGGCATTTCTGTAGACAATTCTAGCCAGTTCACCATTAAGAATGTCCTCAGAAAAACTGAACTCACCCTAAAAAACAAGAGAAAATGGCTTTTATGATTATCGTTTTATTTCTTGTTTTTTTTTCCAGAAAAACCTTTACAGCACCTGTCCAAGGCTTCAGCTGCCACAAGACTCAGACACTCTGGAGGGCTATGTTTAAATAAAATGGGGAGGCCAGATGTCTCCCAGTGTCAGGATAACATCGCATGTGCATGTTATTTCTATGCTTCCAGTGTTCAAAGACTTTGTGTGCTTTATCACCACAATACCCATAAAACCATACAAATAAAAGCAGTGATAATACAAAAAAAAAACCCACCCACATTGTCATAAACATATACACAATTGTCCTACAGGTAACCCACAAATGTAAGGTAACTTCAGGTTTCAAAAACCCTCATTTGTCTTCTGGAATGAGGCCAGAATGGTTGCTGGGAGAAGACTATCCCAATGGATTGGGGGTGAACACAACTGAGAAGCAGTAACCCAGGCTCCCACTAACCTCAATCTCTTGGGTTGTAGGAATCCCAATGTTCCCATCTAGGATGAACATATACACCAGGGGTGTCAAATTCCCGACGACACATTGTCACATGACGTATCACAACTTTTTCTCCTTCGCTAAACCAGGGGTGAGAGTGGCCAATGTGTGACACATCCAGCCCACGGGCCACGAGTTTGACACCTTTGATATACACAGACCTGTTCTATTGGAGAAACCATTGTTGAACAGAGCCATTTAGGATTCTGTAAGTGTCACAGCTAACATTTTGGATGATGCCTATAACCCCAGTGACAATGCCTGCAGTGGAATTTGGGAGGAACTCCTCTTATCTACTAACAGGCCAGCCATTGCATTCTGTACCAGCTGTGGCTTCTGAGTCATTATATTCATACTGAACGTTCTCTGCTGTGGAAAAGATAACACAGTCCCTTCTGGAACGGAGCTCTGCACAGAACAGAGAACCACATGCTCTCTCTGTTTATCTAGCAGTGGAGGAGGCCATCATAGTATACAATTAACTGAGCTCAGAACTAAAGAGAATATTCCAAACTGACTACATATGTTGAAAATTGGCACAGCCGTTTTCTTTCCTTTGTCTTTTTTAAATAAAAGTGATTTGGCAGAATTCATACATCATAATCCACAAAAGGAATAATCTTTAGTAGAAACCCTTATGGCATTCTGATCTTTCTATCAATCTGTCAAATTTGATCTATCAATCCTAATAAAAAACAAATGGTGGTGCGGAATCTTGAACACCAACATACCAGTACCTAATCAATTCCATCTTTCAGTGAGATTCAAATCTATGCATCATATTTTTCTTTCCCTGATATTAATAATCATGGCCACATACAGCTCAAAAATCATGTCTGGAATTATGGGGGATTACAATGTTTCCATATGGAATCAATTGCAAATTTACTGTAAATGGAAATCAATTCCCAATTGATTGTGGAGGGCATTGTTAAGAAAACTGAGTATCTCCTCTTTAAATGACATCTCTAACATAGCCCAACAACAGCATTACTACATCTAATTGTCATGGTTTACCTTTCTAGTGCAGCTGCTTTCAATGAGCAACTGAAGGGTAGAAGAAAGGCTTTGAAAACAAAGATCTGTCACAAAATTCCAGTAACTTGCTAAGGATCAGACCCACACATCTTTTACAAATAATGTAAAACATTTTTCCTCATTAGTTTTTGGTACTTAGGCATCGGGAAGACCATATTGTTTACCTGCTACAAAATCTTGGAATTGGATGGGTTCTAATTCAATGAAAGAAGGATCTAAAGTAGATTTTAAAAAACAACACCTGGTACATGTTTATATAAGTTGCGACCTCTAGAAGTACAAAGGGAAGCAATGAAATGTGACCTCATTTGCATCCCGCCTTTGATAACAACCACTGACTGCTGATAAAGTCCTTTCATTGTTTATCTGCTGTGTTTTCACATTCCTGATTTAGCAATGGAAGGACATCAAAATCGGGCAACAGAAGAATGTGGGAGAGTTTCTTCTTGGTCAGGCAATCTGCTTTGAAGCCCAGGTGAGCACCACAGATAGGGGTTACTGGATTCATTTATTAAACTATAGCAAGTGCAGGAAAGCACTGCACAAATATGCAATAATTATTCTCACTATAAACTGACAGTTCGAATACTTCCACCTGACAATTTAAATTAAATAAGTACCATGGAGAGAAAGAAATATTTTTTATAACAAACATAATGATTTCTTACTAAATCTATCTTTGCTTGCTCAAATTCTTTCTTCTCTTTCCTTTGCTTTTCTGCATGCATCAGCTCCATTCTAAAATACTAGGAAAGGAAAAGGAAGAGGAAAGGAGAAAGGAAGATGGGGAAGGGGAAGAGAATAATGTATCAAGGCATTCAACAATTACAAAGAACATAATCATAGCTTCCTGGTTAAAAAGAAGTCCTTGCTAATACTGCTGCTTAAAGCACTCTTGAATAGTTTCTGCTACAAGATATTTTTATCCTATAACTAACCCAGTCACATCATTTAACAAAGATTGCAGGGACTCAGTATTATATTTGCACCCCAACAGCACTTTTGCCTTGATTAATTATGTCACTTTTGTGGACTGGATCTCTTTCTCCAACTACTGCCACTTAATCAGAAAAAACTAAGGTCATAATTGAAAGATAGGAATACATAATTGGAATTTACCGCTGACAATAGCCTGCCATATATAGACACTGTACATGGCATTTGAATGTTAAGAGCACAAAGAAAACCTGGCAGCATAACTCCAAAAGCTATTGTGTCTTCTTTTGGCTGGTGGGATTTAAAAGAAAAAAACATTTCTTCTGCATTTTCATTAGGCAAGAAACATATGGTATGTTTCAGAAAGCCCCCTAAAAACATGGTTTTCTCAATTTTGCTAAAAATATATATATTTCCATTATACATACAGCAGCTACTAGCATTACCTAACATTACTGAGACAAAATGTGTACCTCTATTAGTACTATTTTGGAAGAACAATGATTGGATAATTGTCAAAAATACTCTTAAGCTGCTGGTAGGAATGGCACCAAAGACCCTCTGGGTGACTTTGGGCCAATCACTTTCTCTCAACCCAACTCTCAGCACAGACTTGTTGTTGTGGGGAAAATAGGAGAAGGAAGGTGGACTGTTATGTTTGCCGCCTTGAGTTGTATATGGAAAAAAAAGTGGAATGAAAATCTTTTTTTAAAAAATCTACCTCTTTTTCTCCTGAAACATATAAGCATAGAGGTAGTCCTCCTTAGTGACTACAACTGGGACTGGCAACTCTGCCACTAAACGATGCAGGTTGCTAAGCAAAACATCATGTGACCATAACAAAATTACCACATTACTATGCCATGGTCATTAAACAAATCACTCACAGTTAAGGAAATTTTTTACAACTTGTGTTTTTACTGCCATTGACTCTACTTGTTGGGAGCCATTTGTGAAACACACAAATAAAATTCACATGACCCAGGGACACTGTGACAGCTATAAATACAACTTAGAATAGAATAGAATACCGTTATTGTCATTGCATTCCACGAATACAATGAAATTTGCAAGCTACTCCAGCACAGTGCCCCACACATCACATCACAATCACACTAGAGTCTTAAAAATTAAAATAATTATAATGATAATAATAGGACTAAATCACAAATGCACTGTTTGGTTCAAGACAATTACTGCCTTGGAAAAGGAACTGTTTCTCAACCTATTAGTCCTCATTTTAAGACACCTATAACACTTCCCTGATGGCAACAGATCGAAATATGAATGAATAACTTGTGAAGTGCCCAAACCTTGATCACGTGAGCAAGGGGACGCTGTGACTGTCATGAATATGAGGTCATAAAATTGCTTTTTCAGTGCTGTGATAACTTTGACCAGTTGCTAAATAGGGCAGTTAAGCAAGGTCAACTGTACACCCAAGCATACCTTATAATAACTCAAAGATAAAATTTCCCAACAAAGATGAACAACCCTGATGATATTTTATTCTTCGTGACAAGGAACAGATCATCTATATTTGTTCTATATTCTATTACAGAGAGGAGGGAGGGAGAATCACCTGCCTACCTCTTGGTAAAGTTTAGGAGATTCAGGATGGAAACGCAATGCTCGCAGGAACAACTGCCGAGCACTTTCTGATGACAGGCGGTCTTCCATCTCCCATTTTGCAGCCATGATCCACAAAGCTAATCAAACAGACAGAAAAGGTTATTTAAGACAGCCAATACAGAATGCGGCATCAAACTAGAAGTCAGTCCAAAAAGAAATGCTTAATCTTTGCTGTTTACAACAGCCAAGCCAGCATGGCCCCTGAAGAGGGCAGTTGTAACTTGACAATGTGCGAAAGTCAGAGGTTCCTATTCTGGACTAGATAACGTTACTAGGATTCCTAGACAAAATGATGCATTGTAAATACCCCATTTCATATTTCAGCATGGGTCATCGCTTTCATTTCTGTAACACCTGAAATTCATTCATGTCAAACCACTTCTGCAATTACAGCAATTCCCTCTCTGTGTGTGTGTAACAGTCATAAAATTATTCACATTTCTATGTTCTATCCAGTTTTGTTGAAGCAGAAGTTATTTATGCGATTTGCAAAAGTAAGAAAAAACAGACAAGCAAGAAAGCATTTAAATGAAATTAAACCACATTTAAAACAATACAGGTAGTCCTTGACTTATGGCCGGTCACTTAGCAACCATTAAAAGTTACAACAGACCACCCCAATAGGTACTTACGATCCAGTTGCAAGGTTTGCAGCATCCCATGATCACATGACTATAATTTATGACAAATTTGCCACAAACGTTTACTTCCAGTTTGCAGCAAAAAAAGCACCATGGTGAATACATTTTGCTGAATGACTGCGTTCACTTAACAAAACCGCCACCAAAAACAGATTATAAAATTGAGTCATAAGTTGAGGCCTACCTGTCATTAAACACACATCAGAAAAACCTCTCACTCCCCAGCTGTCCTCAACTTCTGTTCATATGTCCAAGGACTAGCAATTTAAAAGGTTTGTGCTTCTTGTAGGAAGAATTACAGACATGTACCTGGTTTGTTGGGATGAAGGGCTAACATGGAAGAAAACACCTTGCTCAGCTGTATTTTCTTGTTCTGTAATGAAACAGAAAACACAATTGTAACTATGCATTTCAATATGAAACCCAATCACTTTCACTGCAGAGGACTTGAATTTTCTTGATCTAACAAGAATAGAGACAGATGCAAGCCTTCAAAGGATTGAAGCAAGGATTGAACTCACTGTATCTACATTTCCCATAATTAAAATTGGGAATAGTTGAGAACAATTAAATAGCATTAAATGTGGAGAAGTAAAAGAAACAATGTTAGGAATATAAGTCACCTAACAGGTATTTGGGTTAGAAATATATAAACCAGGATAAACATTTTAAAACTGCATCTTTAAGAAAATGCAAAACTGTAATTAGGTGTGGTTTCTCAAACGGCCAAAAGATGGAGCCAGAAACCTGGTTTGTTTAGTCTGAATCTCAGAAGAGAGTGTGAGTGTATCTCTGTTTCCTTCTGTTGGAAAGTATTGCCGTTCCTCCATTTTTCCTAATTGACTGATATTACTGGATTTTATGTAAGTCTGATACTGAATTGTTTATGATAGTGGAATTTGTTATTGAATTATCCCTGGATTGAAAAACTGACTGATTTACCTGTGAATGACTTTTGGACTGCTTATCTTGAACTTTGCTTAAACTTTCTGGAAGTAAAAACCTACATTTACTGTACAGTGTAACTGTGTACTGTGTGTGTATTATTCAAACACTCCTCTCAAATACGTCTCCCTGTATGCGCTCATTCTCCTAACGGGGAATTACCTCAACAAACAATATCCCTAATCATCCAGAAATGTGGATGATTGTCTTACTTCTTGGCAGGCTGTATGGGTTAATTGACTTAGCTTAATTAACAAACCAATTCTGACTTTACAATTTTCATATAGCAAAGACTCTCCAGCAATACTTTTGATATGATTTCCAGAAGAGAAAAAGGAATACTTTACTAACGGTGTAAGTTCCACAAAAAAATGTATCAAAATTAAGTATCTTATCCTGAATATCCATTTGGCCCACAACGGATGGTTTTGCTTCCTGCCCTTAATTAATTCCTTTGAAAGCCCACAGCATTTTACACTGCAAATGATACATTCAAGCTACATATTCCAATAAATGGGACAGAGCACCACAGTATAAAAATCAGAAGGAGGAAGCTTAGTTCAAATAATAAATCACAAATTGATTCCAAGAAAATTATATCCACTCACCCATTCCTTGCAAAATGCAATGTGAGACAGCCACAGCTGAAGGTCATCCTGTTGGAGTGAGACAAAGGGAAAAGGAATCAGCTGAGAACTTATGACCACTCATTCATTCCAATGCTCTCTAGATCACCAGGAATTGGGAGGAAAAGGAGGAAATCAAGCAAACATTTACATAGGGCAACAACTTTAGAAATTGGGGCTTTCTATACTTATACAGATATAAGTACAATAGTCCTCAGCTTACATTCATTTGCTCAGTGACCATTCAAATTGCAGTGGTGCTGAAAAAAATGAACATATGATGATCAATACTCAAAGCTCCAGTCCCTGCTATCACACGGTCACAATCCGGGTGTTAGAGTGCCCTGCTTGTGATTATAATATCACAGGGAACTGCATGAGCACCATTTGCAACCTTCCCTGCCAGCTTCTGATAAACAAAGTCAATGGGGAAGCCAACAGGAAAGGTCACAAATCACTGGTAAATCAGTCCTGCCTGCCTGTAGTGGATCTTTCCAAAACCTTCCCCAGCCTCCCTTGACTCATGGGCAAGCCTACGCTGGGCTTCTCCAGTCCTTCTCCAATATCCCTTGACTCATGTGTGGCCTGTGCTGGGTATTCCAAACTCTGTCTACCTTCCCGCAATTTTTACCTGGGACTCCTGCCACTTATTTTCTTTGCACCCTAGGAGAGAAACATCTGCCACTACGTAGGATTGAACTCTTAGCCTTCCGAGTGGGAGGTGAGAGTCTTCACCACTAGGGCACCACACCACTCATGGAAAATATCTAACAATTTTTAGAATTTATATAGAAATTGCTTAAAGGCTTCCCCTTCCATGCTTTACCCAGGTCCTGCTGGAAGGCAACCAATGCCATGTAACACGCCACAAAACTTCTAGATGAGATTAAACTGCAGAAGCATAGAAATGCCCCCCACCCCAACAGGTGGAAAAGCTCCTGTATTGGTCTCGTGTAAATTGGGGGGGGGGGATGCAACAGTGCTGCACAAGCACAAGGAGGCCAAGGGAAGAAAGAGGTCTGCAGTCGTGCAGGGAGGCCAAGGGAAAGAAAGCATAGCAGAAGGCCCAGGGAAGCAAAGGTGGAATTACTAGAGCGACTTGCGAATTTCCCTGTCCGTTTTCCCATTGATTTAGCTTGTGGGAAGCTGGCAGGGAAGGTTGCAAATGGTGATCATGTGACTACAGGACACTGCAACTATTGTAAGCACGATTTGATTGGAAACACCTGAATCATGATCATGTGACTGCAGGGATGCTGCAATGACCAGAACTTTGAGGACCAGTCGCAAGTACCACTTGTTCATTCACAACTTTAAACTGTCATTGACTGAGTGATTTGAAAGCAAAGACTACCTATATATTATCCTGTGTCATATATTTTATAATGAAAAACAGGAAATTTACTACTAAAAACTAGATACAGCCACTTTTCATTTAGCAGCTACCTTGTTTAGCTACAATGTTTAGCTACCTTGTTCACAACTACAATGGCAGTAACAAAAAAGAAATCATTTTTCTGACCAATGAACTTACTTATAGCCAAATTTCATGTGCCTGTCAATAACACACACTGGTGAGCTGTATAAGAAAACTTTATCTAAATAAGACCTCATGAACCAGTCTTTGCAACCTCTCTCTTTCTCTGCAACATATTTGCTCAACAATCATTTTGCTTCTGAGATAAATTCCAATCACTAAACATGGAGATTGTGCACATGCTAATTTTTTGATGTGGGTATCTGATTCAAATATAAAGATAATTCTATTTATTTTTAATAGCATCAAAAAATTAGAAAAAAGCAATTTCTGTAATAATGATAGGTTTACCTTCCATTTTGTTGTAGCACGCTTGAAAACGCCATGGATTCTTTGCACAATGGAATATTCAATCTCTTCTTTCTTGAATGAATATCCAATGCGCTAAAGGAAAAGAACAGAGGCTGTCACTGGTACAGACTTTAAAATCTCCATATGCTTTTCCAAATGATCAGTCCCTGGGTAACTTACCAGTCTTCGTGTCTTAATGAGTTCCAAGAGGTTGATTTCATACTGCGAGAAAAATGATCAACAATAATTCAAAGATTACTGTGCTGTATAGTTTGTCACTATCAAGCCTTACATTTTTAGCATTTCTAGAATGTACGATAACAGCTGCAAGTGAAGCAAGTTGCCAGTAACGCAACGATTAATCAAGAATTACTCTAATCCCTCAATCCAATAGCAAAGCCATTTTCTAGATGTTCATTCTAAGGCAGCCAAGCACTATCCACACTAATTAGGGTATTTGCAAGTTAAGGAGAAACCCAAGATTTACTGTCCTGATCCTTCCTGGCAATTACTAATACCACTCGGGAAACCCCAAAGTTTGCAGAAAGCAAAGAAGTAAATGGAATGAGGGGATCGACCAGCAATCTCTTGTTGTTGTGATCAACAAGCTGATCAAAAGTATAGGTAGTCTTCAACTTACAACAGTTCACTTAGTGACCATTTGAAGTTACAACAGCACTGAAACAAGTGACTTATGGTCATTTTTCACACTTATGACCGTTGCAGCATTCCCCATGGTCACATGATTTACACTGGAATACTTGACAACTAGTTTGTATTTATGACGGTCTGGTCGCAGTGTGAACACTTTTTGCAACTTTCTGACAAGCAGAGACAATGGGGAAGCCAGATTCATTTAACAACTGTGTTACTAATTTAACAACTGCAGTGATTCACTTAACAAATGTGGCAAGAAAAGTCATAAAATGGGGCAAAGCTCACTTAACAAATTTCTCACTTAACAACATAAATTTTGGGCTCAGTTTTGATCATGAGGACCCTGCTGTTATTTATAACCATTCGGAATTCTAAAATAAAGAAATGTGTCACTTCAGCTTTTATTGAAATGTATTGTTCAGGTTACTCACCAGCTTAGATCCCCATGATTTGTCTGTCTGTCTGTCTGTTTTATTAAATTTATATACAATCCACCTCCCCAAGGGATTCTCTACTTAACTGCTTCCCCAAAGGGGAGGGAGGGGAGAAGATAACAAGGTCTACCCATCATTCCCTTACAGGGAAGCTTTACTCTGCTTTCCTCAATCTACTTGCATCAGTCTGCAGTGTGGCTCATTTGTATGAAGGAATGTACATTTTCTATATTCCTCTCGTAACAAACATATTTAATGTAATACCATTTTCTCCATTGATAATCTCTTAGGCCTGCCACATCTCAAATAATCTATTTTTTTTATAAGAAAGGATCATAGCCGAGTGACAAGTAATCTCTTCATAAGCTCCCACTGAAATACCTTTAGGTAGGAGTGAAAGCCTGGGGAATAGTAATGCTAAGCAATATTCAGCAATGGGCTTGGCTGGGTGCAGGTTTCTTGCATTCTTAACACACCTTCACATCTTGTTGAATTCCAAGCAGTCTTAGCAAACATGGAATCGGAACCGAATTCAACAACAATCTGATCGGTCACATATTACCCACTATAATACAGCTGCTTTTTCCTACCTCCTATCTTCATATATGTACAGATATCCTCGACTTATGACCACAGCCGAGCCCAAAATTATGTTGCTAAGTAAGATATTTGTTAAGTGAGTTTGGCCCCATTTTACAATCTTTCTTCCCACAATTGTTAAGTGACTTACTGCAGTTGTTAAGTTAGTAACACGTTTATTAAGTGAATCTGGCCTCCCCATTGACTTTGCTTGTCAGAAGGCCACAAAAGGAGATCACATGATCCCAGAACACTGCAACCGTCATAACTATGAGCCAGTTGCCAAGCATCTGAATGTTGATTACATGGCCATGGGGATGCTGCAACGGTCATAAGTGTGAAAAATGGTCATAAGTCACTTTTTTCAGTGCCATTGTACCTTCGAACAAGTCACTAAGTGAATTGTTGTAAGTCGAGAACTACTTGTACACACCCATCAACTATCCACAAATTTGTTTGTACAGTGACAAACCATGCATTTGTGCACAAATCTATAAACAAACTGCAAATATGGGCAATAGAAACATATGGAAATGTTTACATACTTCTTAGTTAAAATACAGAAACTAGAAAAGGTAACAGTATGTCATATACACACTTACAAGTTGAGCCTTCAAGTCATTTTGTCCTTAACCCATATAACCTGCTCCCTGCGCTTTTCTTGGCAGCATTTTTCGAAAGTAACTTGCCAGTTCCTTCTTTTTAGTATGAGAGAAGTGACTGGCCCTACGTCACCCAGGTGGCTTGGTGGCTAAAGGAAGACTAGGCCTCCTAGTTTCTAACCTGATGCTTTAACCACTGCACCAAAGTAGATCCATATGCTTACTGATTATACTATAAATCTGCTAGTCACTGATTCTTGCAATCAATATTTTGTAAGCACTTAAAATTCTTGTCTTTTTTTGCAATTTGCAATTAAGGTGGAAGAAAAAAAGAAAAAATATTTTATTAAAAAAAAAAACATTGAGATAGATCCCTCTCCCATTTTTCTCCATGCTTTCATTCCTTTTCTACATGTATTCTGAATTTAATTCAACTTATTAAACCTGTTTTGGAGGAAGGAGGAAAATTAAAGCTTGGCAAGGGAGCGCTCCTTCCTGAACTGGAAGCTCTGAGGGCCAGTCATCAAAATGTGGGTGCTTAGCAACTGGCATGAATTTATAGCAGTTGCACTGTCGAAGTCAACATTAATCTTCCCAGACAGCTTCCAACAAGCAAAATCAATGAGGAAAGCCAGATTTGCTTAATGACTGCATTAAGTTGTTCTCTTAACAACTGTGACAAAAAAGTTGTAAAATGAGACACAGCTTAACTTAGCAACTGCCTTGCTTAGGAGAAGAAATGTTGGGCTCAATTGTGGTCATAATTGAAGACTACATGTATGCATTCTCCCTACTGCTCTCCAAATTTCTAAAACTTTTTAAAAAATGCAAAATAGCTTGAATTTACAATGGTTGCTAATTTTCCTAAAATCTTATGAAAATTAATTGATTTCAATTATGTTTTCTATTTTCAAACATTTAAATACTAGATTAGAATACTAGAAGAATAGAAGGTTCCTGTGACATCATGTGAACTAATTAAAAGACTGTTTACCTTCCCCCTAAGTTACATTTTATCGCATCACATTGCAGATTCACTTTAAGAAACAAACAAATTTGAAGTAGTTAGTGGCAGAATAAACAATGTATCATAGATGTATTCATATCAACAGATAAAAATACATAGAAAAAGACCTTTGTCAGAAAACTACCTGTATGTAACTAATGAAGTCTTTCTTGTGAAGTGCTCTCCGCTGTATCTTATATTCAAGAGCTGAGACCTTCTTAATGACCGCCCTGCAAAAATGAAGCCAGAATCCTTTCATAAATTCTGATCCATATTAGTAGTAGTTTTAACAGTTCAGTTGTGTTTAACTTTTGGCAACGTATAGGCAAAATGCTCTCCACGCTACCTTGTCAAGCACGGCTTCTTTCAATTGTTGGAGCTGATGGATTTTTTTTAATGCAGCCAATTACCCTGGACAAGTTGCTGTGTAATATAGGTGGAGGATGGAAGGATACCCACATATAAATAAAAGTAGTCCTTGGCATAAGTTCATCTTGTGACCATTCAAAGTTACAACAGCAATAAACTAAGTGACATCACTATTTTTCACACAACCATTTCACCATCCCCATAGTCACATGATCAAAATTCAAATGCTTGGCAACTGGTTCATATTTGTGACAGTTTCAGTGTCCCGGGGGCCCTAGCAACCTTCCAACAAGGAAAGTCAATGGGGAAGCCAGATTCACTTAACAACAGTGTTACTAACTTAACTGCCATGACTCACTTAACAACTAAGGCAAGCAAGATCATAAAATGGGGCAAAACTCACAAGTGTCTCACTTAGCAACTTAGCAAAGTCGAGGACCACCTGTATATACAGGACTTTTAGGAGGTCCAGCACAAAGCCTTTAAGAAGCCTCCCTTAAAGTGATCTTATGCATTTGTATTGGGACTAAAAGAAATGCCAATGCACCTGGAAGACACAAGATTGAAGAAGGGGGTATAAAGCCATCCTTGTGATGGTTTATTCTTAATCAGAAAGATAATGCTGCAAGTAGAAGCATCTAGGCTAGGGTCTCCTTCCACCTTTTTTTCCCCATCACGCTCCCCCCAAATCTTACATTTGTCACACTTTCTTCCCACCCTTCCCTAGTTATATGAACGCCCCGCTTCCACAGGCCTCCCCTTTTTACCTGATTTCCTTACGAGTGAACAGCCCGACTCTCTCTAACTGCTCTAGCTCCGGAATTCGGTCCTCGATGCGTTCTTCGATCCTCTCAGCCATAACCAGCAAAAGACGAGCCGCTCGGCTCTACACCGAACCGAAACCCACGTGGAGCGATCACCCTCCGCTTCCTGTAGCGACCAGCCAGCTGCCTCGAAAAGCCGGGGCGCTCCTTTCTCTTCCTGGATTCCCGGTGCTTCCACCTTGCGGCTCCTGGAATAATTGCAGCCTTTCTGGTTTCGGACAGGGGAGGAAAAAAATCACAGGAATACGCCGTTTGTGCTCCATGTCTGGCTATAAGTTATTAGGAAAAAGAAAAAAAAATGTTCCAAAGAAGGGCAGTAAAAAACGAAATGGGAACAACCCAGCTCTACCCTCCAGGGTAATTATCTGTTTGGGATAGAAGAGATTTTCACGGTCCCACTAGTTAAATTAGGGACTTTCTCTGTACTACCGTATTAACGGAATTGATAGAGTGAGGGAATCGTCCGTTAATGCTTTGCTTAGAAAAACCCGCTTTCTTACAGGAAAAAAATGGCACACCAAATGAGATGTTTTCCACTTCCAGCTTTGTGTTTCCGAATGTCAAAACCCTGTTTGGTTTATGTACTGCTGCAGTTGTAGGCTAGAAGCAAGCATTGCACCCATTGTAGTCAATTTATCTCATGAGAGAGCATCTCTAAACTGTGTTTAATAATCACCCTGCTGCTCCAGTGGCAAGATCCTAAGGAATTTTCAGCAGACAATGCTCTTTATTATTGCAAAACTCCAATTTCAGGATTCCCTGAAGGAACCCATGCCAGGTAAAGCAGAAAAAAAACACCATCTTGGTTGTCTGAATTTGCTTCAGGATGGGGAAGATAAGCAAAGGCTTTCTGATCATATAAAACACAGATTTGAGAAAGTACTTCGACAAACCAATAGCCACAGAATTTTAATACAAGTAGCCAGCAACTTACCCCACAATTGAGACCAAAATTTCCATTGCTAAGCCAGTCAATTGTCAAGTGAATTTTGCCCCATTGTATGACCTTTTTTGCCACAGTTGTTATTAAGTTAGCTAACTGAATCCGGCTTCCCAAATGACTTCACTTGTCAGAAGTTCATAAAAGGTGGTCACATGACCCTGAGACACTTAAAGCATCATAAATAAATACAGGTCAGTTGCCAAGTGCCCAAATTTTGATCATGTGACCACAGGGATGCTGCAACAGTCGTTAAGTGTGAAAAATAGCCATAAGTCACTTTTCCCAGTGCTGTTGTAACTTCAAATGGTCACTAAATGAATGGTTGTAAGCCAAGAACTACCTGTATATTTTCCTTGTGAGGGTTGTTTCACTGATTCAAGTGACCATGTTATTTCCACAGTAATAAATTATCCATAATTAACATGATTAACAAATATCCTAATTCAATAAACATTTTTCCATTATTTATTTACTCCTAGGTTTTTGTAAGACCAGATATGTATGTTTTCTGTGTAATATTATGCAACATGCTTCAGTAAATTTGTTTAATGGTTTATATTCATATTTATAGTATCATATATATATGTATGTATGTATGTAT